TGTTTGTAATAAAGCAAGACGTGTTTTAAATAAGACTGGTGCAACACGTTCAATTAATGTTCGAGCTAAGCCATCATATTTTACTTGATACGAACGTTTATCCATATAATAAACAAAATTTCTAAATTATAATTAATTTTTAAATAAGAATAAAATGAATAGTTTTCTTTTCTTTTTTCTTTACCGATAACAAGTTGTTCTATCTAATTTGTGTGCTGTAGTATTCGTCATTGAATGAGATGATTCATCCGATACTAGATCAAAAAGTGTAGATCAATTATTTATTATTGAATAAATTATGAAATTACTTTTAAGATTTGAAAATTGATCAAGTGGTTCATCAGACCAACAAATCTAAACGGAATAATATTATAACAAAAGAATAAAGATGATATATTAAGCATTAGTATTGATTCAAGAAAACTCTTTTATTAAGAAAAGTAAATGAGCATATGATGTTGCAATTGAGCCAGTTAGTATATATTGCTTTTTTTTCTATTGTTGATAACAGCCTATTCTAATCTCCTTTTCTCTTTTATATATATTTTAATAAGCGTTATCTTACGCAAGAAAAAAAATCTTTTAATCAATATAAGATTGACCGATTGGATTATTTCAGGCAGTTCCAACTCATTAGTCATACAGAAACAATAAAAGAATATAGGAAGATGATTTTTCCTATCTGTAACAACTTCGCTAATAAATGAAACATTTGTTTAAACTATAGCGAAAATTTAAAAATAGATCTTTGACATACTTTTGGCATAATATCAGTATCATCTCCATCTTCTAGTTTTTCAATAACACTTTGTTGTGATTCACTTGCAACTTCAGTTTCTTCTGTTGTTTTTGTATTATCATCATCTTCATCACTACTATTCTCACTTGTATAATAATCACTTTCATCAGCACGTTTTGCTTTACGTTCACGATCTGTTACAAGTGAACGAAAATGTAATTTTGGCCAATCTTCACAATCATTACAACGTAATAAACCACTTAATTTTTTAACAGATATTGTTAATTCATAATATAAATTATACCAAACACAAATAGCATCAAGTCGACGATGAAATAAAGCTAATAAATCATTTGTATGACCACTATCAACATGTTTTAAACAATAAAGTATATGTTGTTTATCAGCTATATCAAATAATTTTTGTGTTAAATCCTTTTCTGTTTGTTCACAATCATGAATATAATCAATAGATAATGTACGAAAAAAACGTAATGGATGATCTTTAAAAGATTTTATATCATTTATTTGTTCTGGTGTTTCTATAGATGTTTCTGATAATATTGAAGTATTTAATAATTTATTATCATCTATATTAGTTTTATTTTTTGGTATATCATCATCAGTTTCACTTGAACCAGTTGATAAACGTACAGGATCATTATTTGTTTTTAATAAATCTCGAATACTATTAATTAAAAATTTATAATGATGAGATCGATTCATTTGATAACTAGTTATAGAATCAATAAAGGCTTTTGTTTCAATTCTTGAACATCGTTGTTTCATTGGATTTTTTAATGATAATTCATGTAAACGTGTATAAAGAAAATCTCGAATAGATGAATTTTGTGATGGATATTGTATACTAGCATTAAATGAATAATTTAAAAGTAAATTATT